TTGAACAGGATGTAAGGACCTCCGCAGGGAGAAAGCTTTGGATGCTGAGGATCTCTTTAATCTAGTGGAAAAAGAAAGAACAAGAACCACTGGTTGGAAGCTGAAGCCAGACAAATTCAAGCTGAAAATAAGGAGTGGGATTGTTAACAGTGCGGATGTTTAACCGCTGGAACAGACTCCCTGGGAAGTGGCGGCTTCTCCGTCCCTCCAAGCACTCACAACCACAATCACTACTTTTCTGGAAGATGCTTTTGCCAAAAACGAGCCATCAGGCTCAGCAGAGGGATAAAAGAGCAAACCTCTCTGTCCTGTGATGTACGGGAAGGCAGACCAGCCAGCCCTTATCTCCATACAGGTTGCTTGGACTGTGGAAAAACGCAGATGAAGGTGCAGGAATGGAGCAATCTATATCACTGTTGAAACTTGAGCGTGCCTGAGGGATGGAGGAAGAGCTTGCGTAGCTTCAGAAGAAGGAAGAGGCAAGAGGAAGAGGAGGAGGGTGGGCAGCAGCCAGCTGATGCTGCCGGCGACACGGGGACAGAGAGCCATGCCCCGGCAGCCCCTGCCAGAGGAGGCTGTGCACCGCAGGGTCGGCAGCCAGCTCATTTGAAGTTCGGCTGCCTTTGCTGGTTACAGCCCCCGGAAGACCAAAGGGCTACGGCTCCGTTACTCCGGTTTTCTGGTTATGGCAACGTCTTCTCAATGTGGTGAGCACGGAGCTGAACAAACTCAGGTGGGCTGTAAAGCTGCTTTGCTGCCTCTAGGAGAGAGCGTGGGGATACGCTCCTGCACCCTTCCTGATGACTCCTGAGATGGGAGGGTCTGGTTAATAGGTCTGTCTGAAGGTCTGCCTAATCAGCCTTGTTTCCAAAAGCTGAAGTCTCTAAAAGCTCCTGCAATGAATTAAAATGTGCAAAGAGATCAAGTGGAACCCTCTGGGCTTTCCCTGTCTAGCAGAAAGCTCGTGTGTCTTCACTGGCCCCATGGAGCTCAGAAGATGTGGCTGGCCTGAGCTCTGCACATCAGCTCGCTTGAGACAAGCGCCTCTCTTGCCCATAAATCAGGGGTCCCAGCCAGGAGACCTCCTTGAGGCGCAGGACAGCTCTGCCTTCAGGTGCTCCTCGCCTGCAGCTCTGAGGGCTGCAGTGGCAGCACTGCTTAATGGGCCTGCAAAGTAATTAAAGCAAGAAGGCTCCCTTGATTCCCAGGGGACTAATAGCAGACCAGATTCCTGTCTGCTATTCCTCCTCTACCGCTACAGCTGTATTGCTGGCTAAGCCCTCACAACGGGAGCCCTCTGTGACTCCAAAAGCCAAATCCTTTCTGCGGTTGCACTGGTTGGAGCCACTTATCTCCCTAGGCATTGCCGGGGCTGCCTCCGCCGGGATGCCCGGCACCGCACTGCAAAGCGGGCACTTGTCTTTGCAAGGGGCAATTGGGCACTGCTAGCCTGGGGGCCACACTCACACAGGGTTTGTCATATGGGAGGGGTGCCAGCTGCTGTCAGGGGTCCAGAAGAGGTCACTGATGGGTGGAAAAGCCACCCTGGTTGCAGCCAAGCTGGTTTTCAAGAGCAACTGCTTCCCAAGCTGGTCACCATTTGAACAGGAGCCAGTAGCTGCAGGTGCCCAGGAGCCCTAGTGTGATTTTAACTGGGGTTCGCTCATGCCGGTGGTAGGAGCAGCCCCAGAGCACCGGCCCAGCCGGGTGAAGTGCCTGCACCCGGCAGGTTTGTTTCCGCAATGCTAGGTGCGTGTGTAATTCATCATCCAAATGCTCAGTGTCACCAGCTCCTGGTAATTTATTGTGAGTAACGTGATTTTGGCCCCTGCTGCAAGTGGGCTTGTGATGACGCGAAAAGCTGCAGCTGTCTTCAGTGCTTCCCTGCAGTAAGCTGAAGAGCTCGAGGCCGGCACTGACGACTCCTTTTCCAGCCCCGGGGTCATTTTTCTGGCCCTCCTTTGAACTCTCTTTGGTATTTCCACATCCTTCTCGAAACAGAGACTTTGGAGCTAGCTTTGCCAGCAAGGCAAGGTAAAATCACTGCTCTCCCCTCGCCTCCTGCAGATGCTGGAGGGACAAATCAGTCCCCACGCTGCCCTGGGGGCATTGCCTGCACCAAAATACTCTACGGTCAGCCGTGGTCATCTCACACTTTGCAGAACAGCTCACCCTGCATCACTGCTGCCTGCCTTACCTGTCTCATGGCATCTGCACGGTTTTTCCCAGAAAAGCTGTGTACCCTTAGCTGGATCAGAAGCCGAAAAATGTGGCCAATGCTTCCCAGAGAGTCAAGCATCTGTCCTTGTGCCCAGCCCAGGAGATGCTGAATGGCTCTGCCTGTGAGCTGCCACGGCAGGGGCCCCGGGCTCAGCTCCCCCAGCTCTGCAGGGGAGCAGGGTTTGTCAGAGCACCCTTGGGAAGAGTGTATGCCAACATGTGAGACTTGGCAGCAACGGGGGCAGGTCGTGGGGCTGGGTAGCTCCCTGCACCCCCACATTGCAAACCTTGCTGCTGCTGAGCCTTGAGAGCAGAGAGATGCTGGCATCAAAGCAGCAAACCCCAGGGAACTACCCTGCCTGGAGGGGTGGGTGCTCAGCCGGAGGCTGGAGCTGCTGGTGCCAATTCCCCAACTTGACAAGGCCATCGCAAGCCCCCTGCAGAACAGCTCTTGAGACCCATATGGAAATTTCGAGGGTGGCCACGATGTCTCTGGCCTCTACCACTCCCATAACTTGTAGGCAAAAGCAGCATCTCATCAGTGGAAATATGGAGAGGAGGTGAGAAACCCCACTGGGACCGCTAGAAAGACCTAAGAGCCTGAGCTGACAGGTAGCTGGGGGCACTGAACTCATTTATTTTAACTCACGACCGTGCGGCTAAACACTGCAATCTGTGCTCACCTTTGGCCTCGACATAAACTCAAGTAATTACTCATCTAATGACGCCTGCTAATCGCCGTGGCTCACCAGGGAGCCGGCAGTGTGCTGGGCGCTGCTTCTCCCGCCTGCTGTGAGCCCAAGCAGGGTGGGCTGGCACAGCCCCTGCAGCGTGGTGCAGGCAGGGACATCCCCAGGGTGTGGGGCAGCACCGCCAGCCAGCAGGCACAGGGACGATGGCACGCACCTCGGGGAAGGCACGTGTCTGCGGTATCGAGCAACTGCAGCTCGTCCTCCCCGGGAGCTTCGGCCCCACAGCCTGAGCCTCCCCAGAGTGCACAAGCCTCTCCCTTCACCCTCGCGTCTCCTCCGGGGCCCGGGGTTTGCAGGGGAAACATTTACCAGGCTGGTGTGGCACAAAGCCCCGTGGTTTTGGCTGGGAGCAGCGAGAGGAGAGCAGGAGGCAGCTTTTCCTCCAGCATTGTGGCAACAGCTTCCCAGAAAGTGGGAAGTGGGTTTGGATCTCGCTTTGCCAGGCCGGCCCAGCGCTGCTGGCACAGGTCAGCTTCTGCTGAGCTGGGCTGGAGAGAGGATGGGGCCAGCAGTTCAGTCTGGCCGGCGGGTGTTCACCTTGTGCCGGTCTCTGCTGCATTAATGCTCCGTTTCACCTGCTGGCCTCTTAATCCAAAATGCACGTTAACTGGTGGCTGTGTGAGGGCTTCCCACCCATGGGATGGATACCTGTACCTGTACAAGGGATCTGTGCTTCCACCTGCCCATCCTGCCCTGTAGCCTGAGGCCCTGGAGACCCCATTTCCCCCACATACCCCTCTGGGGTGGCAGACCCCTTCCTGGCACTATGCTGACCACACAGGGTTTTCCTCGTGCCTCCCCAGGCAGTGTGCAGGGCCATGGGGTGCTTGATCTGTGCTCCTTTCCACAACAGCAGTGGAAACGGGCCAGACGTTGCTGGGCAGAGCAGTCCCTGGTGCCAGTGTGACCATCGCTGCTGGGCGTTTGACATTGCCAGTGGGGTTGGGGGATCATCACAGTTGCCTGAGGCACATGGTCTCTCTGGGGCAGCCAGTCTGGGTTGCGCAGAGGGGATTTATCCAGAGTGCTCGTATGTGTAAAAGTGCCCCAGCACCCAGGCGGTGCCCAGCGCACCCACAGAAGCAGCCCAAGAGGCTCTGTCTCCCCAGCATCAGCCGGGGTGCCCAGAGCAGAAGCAGGGCCACAGCCCCATCCTGCAGAACGGCAGGCGAGCGCCTGAGCCTGCCCTTTCCCTTCCCACAACCCTGCTTCATTTACTGCACACCTCCCAGCTTCTGCAGCGGATGAGTGGGGGGCCCTGCCGGCAGCGGCCTCCGTCACCGCACAGCCTCACCCCCCTCCCTGGGGCTTGGGGCCCATCCTGTGTGCCGAGCGAGGCTGTGCCCTGTGGGAAAAAGTAGTATGCGGTGACGTAATTAAAGGCTGCATCATTAACGCATGTGTGCAGGGGCTAAACATTTCCTATTTCTTGAGTGCTTAGCTTCCCTGTGCTGTGTTCATGGGTGCTTAACTCCACGGGAGGCTTTAAAATGGAAGAAATACCTCTGGGAAGTGGAGCACCCTCAGCAGTCACCAAAGCCAGCGTGCCATGAACAGAGCTAGAGAGCACAGGAGAGCTCTGGTGTGCTCCAGCCCCATGTAGAGAGAGGGCTAGAGGGTGGCCTGCCTGCTCCAGAGACATCACCATCCTGCGTGCATCAGCTGGAGCTAGTACACAGGTCCGCAGCATGGCTACATGCAGGTCCGTGGGAACACGCAAGGGCATCCATGCCGCTCCCCACGCTCTGCAGCCCAGCTAAAAGCTGAGCTCCTTTAGAGGGTATCGGTGTCTCTCAGCATGGGCAAAGCAATGTATTCCTCCCTTAATCTCTTTCCTGGAAACAGCGATGCCATTTTGGCTTGGACTGCATAAAAAAAGCTCACCCCAAGGCAGACATCTGGCACACATTTTCACCCCAACACCCAAAATTTTGCTAGGCTGTAAGCAGGGAAGCCAGCCTCTCCTGCCCGCTCCTGCTGTGAGTCGGGGGGACCGTTGTGCTGCTGACTCTCCCCTCTGCCCCCCAGGACTACTGGCTCTCCCTGCTCTACAAGCGCCTCATCGGTCCCAAGGTCCTGGCGATCCACGTGGCCGGTCTCCAGAGGAAACCCCGGCCCGGCAGGGTCATTCGCGACAAGCTCCGTATTTACGCCCACTGCACCAGCTACCACAAGTAAGCAGAGCGAGGGAGGCTGGGGGCTGCAGGGTGGGGATAAGCAGGACCCCCAGGACTTGGGGACCACTGAGGACATGCTGGGGCAGGAGCCCAGGGTTTGGCTCCGGCAAAGCAGGTTGGCTTCCCAGGGGACTCGCTCGGGCACTGCTCTGGCTGCTGTGGTGGTGGAGGGAGCGCACAGGAACAGTGATGCCTCCGATGAAAGTCATGGCAAGCCCGCGCCTGGGAACGGGGCCGGCCGGGGCCGGTGCGGTGGCTGCCGAGCAGCCCCAGCAGCAGAGATCAAGGGAGTGGATTTCACACGAGGGGCCCCCAGTCGGTTGGGTTACCCGCCGGGCCGCGCTGCCGGGGAGCCCGGCCTGGTTATTGTTTCGCTGATAAGGTCTTTGAAAGCGCCCCAGCAAGCCGGGGTGGGGGCGGCCACCTCCTCCGCAGACACAAGTTGCTATTGTGGAGGAGGAGAGTCTGTTTCTTTACACAGTCCAGATGCTTTCAACATGCCTCCAGCTCGGTAGGAAACCTTGTCCAGTAACTGACAGGTGCAAAGTGCTTTATAGCCTTTGTTTGGGGCTGCCTGATTAGGCAGGGACAGAGGATCAGTGTCTGGACCTGTCAGTTAGGTGCCCAGGGCGGCGGGGGCAGACGCCACTTGCGCACAGAGCTCCCCTCCGTTCTCAGCCTCCTCCTTGTGAGGCCCCAGGGGGGCTGCCCTGGGACCGCCACCCCCTTAGCTCCAGACACTGGCACGGCACCCCCTTGAGCCATGCCACCGCTGGCTGAGGAGGGGAGGGGGAGACTGAAAAGGCATCATTGCGGAGCCGGGCTTCGTGATGGGGAGGTGGCATCTCCCTGTGGAGGGGCAGCCAGGACAGTAACGTCCCCTCCGGATGGCTGCACGAGGCCAGTTCTTGCAGAGACCCCCAAACCACTTCTTGGAGGCGGTTGCTCCCGGGGCATGTGCCAATGTCCCCCTCAGCTCCCGCTCTCCCCTTTGCAGCCACAACTACGTCCGGGGGTCCATCACCCTTTACATCATCAACCTACATCGCTCCCGGAAGAAAATCAAGTTGGCGGGGACGCTGCGGGATAAGATCGTCCACCAGTACCTGCTGCAGCCCTACGGCAAGGACGGGCTCCACTCTAAGTAAGTGCGATGCTGGCGGCTGGGGCTGCCACTGCCACCCCGTCCTCGATGCCACCACCCTCACCCTGTCCTGGTCCCGCAGGTTGGTCCAGCTCAACGGGCAGCCACTGGCCATGGTGGACGATGGGACCCTGCCCGAGCTAAAGCCTCGTCCGCTGCGGGCCGGCCGCACCCTGGTCATCCCCCCGCTGACCATGAGCTTCTACGTGGTGAAGAACGTGAACGCGCTGGCCTGCCGGTACCGATAGCCCACGGCCCAGAACGGACCCGCCGGCCCCGCTTCTGCCTCCACGCACTCCCCAGGACACGCTGCCTCCTCGGCAGCCCGCACAGCCTCGCAGCAGGGCCGCATCGGGCAGGCACCGCGCCATGCCCTCGTCCTCACACCCTGGATGCCCTCCGGCTTGGCACCCTCTCCCGCCCGGTGACCGCAGAGCTCCGCTTGGCCCTGGCCACCATCCCGCCAGAGCGGTGCGACGGCGAACTGGCAGGGCCTGCCGCGATCCGTCCCACAAGCTGCGAGAAGCACCCGGGGTCCGGTGCCCACCGGCTGCTGGGGAGGGCTGGGGTGCGGAGGCCTGGGCTGGGCACCCTCCCCGGCCCCCCCCAAGTCCCGCTGCCCCTCAGGGTGACCCCTCCCGCAGCCGGGTCCCCCTCTCCTCTGCGCCTTCTCGGGCGCCGGTCAGCGCTGCCGGTGCAGCAAGCGCATGGAAGCAGCTCCCTCTGCTGCCGCCGGGCTGCCGCCAGCCCGGCCGGGACCGACGCGGGGATGCCGCGGGCAGGGCGGGCCGGGAGAAGGGGCGCCGGGGTCCGCCCCGGGGCGGTGCTCGAGGGTCCGCCGCTGGAAATGTTGATAATTAAATTATACGGCCCGAGGCGGGGCGGAGCGGCGGGAGGCGGGGCCGGCGGTCAGCCCCAGCGGCCGCCGGGCCGTGAGTGTGTTCTGCCCGGGAGAGGGGCGGTGTGGCGGGCGGGAGCAGCCGGGACACGCCGAGGTGCTACCGGAGGTGTAAATAAAGTTGGGCTGTCAACCGCGCCGGCGTCTTCTGTCCGCCACGGGCCGGGAGCGGGGCAGGACGGGGGCCGGGGACCGGGGAC